TTTTTATTACATTAAACACGTCAAAAATGTTTGCCTCCTCCTACTCCGCTCGTTGAAATTTGTAGGGTTACACTCATTAACTCCCAAATTATCAATTTCGACATGATGTTCTGTTAAAGTACTTTTTATCTGAAGTACTTACTACGTTAAAGAATAACCATGAGACAACGTAACACACATTGTGCTTAAATTGAATGAAGATGAAGTGGGATAAACATTTATGAGACCACAGGAATATCCGGATAACGGTCAACGGCGTCAGAGAAAACGCCTTACCTTAAGCACAATCCGTCACTGTATGCGTAAAGTTAAACATATAGATCAATCAGATCATATATTCATTGATACATATAATATCTTCGATGTTTAACACGAGACTTTAAAAAAGGAATAATCTTTTAACTTTTGCGTACACCTGAAATTAAAATCAGTCAAGGTGTGTTTAAAAAAGGATGCATTATATTAGGGATACGCCGAAACGTATACGCCTAAAATAAATACTTTCGTACTGCAACATCTTTTATGATAGCATTAGAACAATCGCTACTACAAATGGAATATATTGGTCACATTTGATTCTGGATAAAACGGTTAGCCGATTGTCATTCGCTCACGTAATAGGCAAACGTAACAAACAAGTGAACTGTGCTTAAGTCGGTCGATTTAATGGCGACAATAATATGTATTTTATTTAGAAAATAAATATTTCTTTTATTTTTTTGTTAAATGTTAGAACCATCCCCATTTTAACCATATTTTGTTTTAAGTTTTAACTAACTTTCAATACTAAATTATGAACGTATATGATTGTGATCCGTTTCGGTTTTTGGAACTACTAGTATCATCCAATATCTTAATTCATCTTCTGTCATTAATTAAGAATTCATAAATCGTGTATGAAAAACGAACTTAGAATCAAGTTTGAAGACGAGATCTTCAAAAATAGCATGCAAATAAAAATCAGACGAATTATTGAAACCCAGTGTGATGCCTTCGTGGCATAACTCGTCACCCGTTTATTTCTCAATATAAATATAAACCTTTCAATCATCTACCTATATTCTTTTTAACCCCGACAGATACGTTCATGCATCGCTGTATACCTCAATATCGTGTCTTGAAGTCAGTATGTATTTCATTTTATTTACTCATTATCAAAAATTCTTGAATGACTGAAGTTCTTCTGTTGTACATTTTTGGATAGTTTTCTGAAATATTGCTTTCTGTTTTTTTTTTTTTTTTTAAATGACATGCTGTTTTGTGAAAAGTAATTCTTTTATTTGTTAACAATAAATAGATTAACAAATGTCTTATTTTCAACATCCAGATGTAAACACTAATCAAAGACAATAGGCACATAATTTGGTACGTCAGAACCGCGTTTTAAATGACATCACGCAAATTTTTGAATACTTGGGAATCCACATATGGATCAATGTTTTAAAATAGCTGACTTTGTTGTCGTTTTTCTGAAATCATTTTATTGTTGGTAGAAAAGATATTTAACATATAAACTGTAGAAAGTCCCTAAATGCATTTGGCAAAAACTATGAAATTCCACTATCTGTTATAAACAGCATGTGCTAATCTATGATTAAGGTATATTGAAAGGATAACTTTTGTTACCATGACAGTTTTGGTAAAAGATATATTACATTTGATACTGTAATACTGTAATATCTATTTATAAGACAAAATAATTTATGAATTAAACGGAGTTTTGCGTGTAGTTTGACTTTAAATGTGATGTTCAAAGTTCTATAACTCTAGTACGACTTATTTGCAGAATTGTGTGTGGTCTACATATAAAAAAGAGAATAGGTTTAGATAAGTACAGTCAAACCTGGCTAAACCGGACTCTGAATTAACCGGTTTCCTGTCCATTCCGGCCAAAAATTGAAGTCCCATTTTTCCACTTTTAAAAATACAATTTGTAAACCGGACCGTGTGTATTCCGAATTCCTGTCTAATTACGCAGTCCCAATATTTTTAATTACATTAATTATTACCTGTCAAAACCAGTTTGTTTGATTAATTTGACATTACCTAATGATCGATATGCAATCAAAACATAATTGTTTATACAAGATGATTTTTCAGGACAATTAATTAGCAAGGTGTTAAACCGTGAACTAACAGTAGTAAGCTTTATTTTTGAAACACTATTAAGTTTTAATTAAAATAAACTAAAAGAAACGCCGAATACGTTATCAGATAGAATTTACGTTGTAACTTTGATACATTTTTCAAATCGCGGAGTAATTTTCGAAATACTTGGTTCCCTGTTGTGAACCCCGAAACCAATTACTCTGATAATGAATAAGACCCGGATGACGACATTCTATTGTCGAGTTCATATAATGAATTATTCCGGTTAGCGTATCGTACATTGTACGACAATGTTTCGATCATGGTGAAATTTCGTTTGATAAAATTCTTGCTTTTTAATCGGCTACTATACCAACGTAGGAAATGAACGATGGAAGTAAAATGAAACTCTTGTTGAGCAATTCAAATAATGCGAGGATTCTGATGCGAAATGAAAACAATGAACTCAGAGTGAAAGTTAGACTGACGAGTGGGAGACCGATGCTACCGAGGTCGATTTGACATACGAGGATATGTTAACAAAAGTTAAAATATATTTTTTTGCAATTCGGAGGACAACCAATTTCTATAACTTCTAAAGCCAGTGTATACGAAAACTCAAAACAAAGATCGTGCTTGGTTAAATGGTGAAAAGACAGGGAACACTTGTTATGTTCATGTCACAACATTTTCACACAAATCATGACATAACTTTTAATGAAAAGGTTATTACGGTATTTGTAATTATTAGTTTACAATTTACAATGAGACAAATTATCTGACGTCACAAGTCAATAACATTCTGTCACCACGGAAACCTGAATAAACCGACCCACTGTCCAAACCGGCCCTTTTGCATAGTCACATAGCCGGCCGGTTTATACACGCTTTACTGTAATTATGAAATTATAATATTAAAACAAATGTTAATGGAATTGCAAAATTGACTTATTACAAACTTATAAAAACAACTAATTACGAAAACATATGTTGCCCATCGGTCGATGCACCAGGTCTCGTTATTGTTCAGGTCATATGATTCCCTAAGTTCTTGTGCTTGACCTTGATTTGAATCTTATTAAAATATGTATGAGATTTTAATATCAGTAAACTACTGTTGTATGCTTACGTATAAAAAGCTCTGCTTTGACAAGGAATTACCTAACAAATTATTTGATAACGCTTATTTGTTATGGAATGCTGAAAAGTTGTGAGACTATAGGTAAATCAATAAGATTTTTTTTGTTTTGAGCCGCCAATATACACTTTGAGAGGTTTAGCGCTATAAAACCAGGTTCAATCCACCATTTTCTACATTTGAAAATGTCTGTACCAAGTCAGGAATATGACAGTTGTTGTCCATTCGTTTGATGTGTTTTGTCATTTGATTTTGCCATGTGATTAGGGACTTTCCGATTGAATTTTCCTCGAAGTTAAGTATTTTTGTGATTTTACTTTTTGATAAAATATAATTTTATAATGTTTTCTTGGTGTTTTTTTTCTATCCTGAAAATACCTCTATGACGATAATGATATTGTGATTTGTAGTAAATATTGAAGAAGTAAATGAAGAGGATATTGATATAGATTAAAGGGAATTTCCGTTGAAATGTTGGTTATTGAGTGACATGACATCATCCGTACATATGAACGTTACCTTTGTTTGTCTTTGAGAAACAATTGGGCTTCATATGCATGTAAAAACAAGTTGGTCAGAAGAGATGATTTGATAAACCCACAGTTTGCAAAATAATCATCGACCAAAATTCAACAACTTGATGATATATTTGATAATCTTTTGTGTATTTGGCATTGGAACTAATGTGGTTCATCACAAGTTTTCTATAGCTTAAATGAAGAAAGTATCCACTTTCACTTACAGAATGGCCATTATTCGCTGTGATTCGTGCTTTTATACAAATATAAAAAACAAGTAAAATAACAAAAATACTGAACTTCAAGGAAAATTGAAAACGGAAAGTCCCTTATCAAATGGCAATGGCTGAAACACATCAAACGAATGGAAAACAACTGTTATATTCTTGACTTGGTACAGGCATTTCCTTATGTAGAAAATGGTGGATTAAGCCTGATTTTATAGCAAGCTAACCCTCTCACTTGTATGACCGTCGCATAAAATTCCATTTTATTGACAAACAATGTGTGAACAAAACAAACAGACATAACAGGTAAAAATGTCAAAAATAGGGGTACAACAGTCAACATTGTGTTATAATCTTAATCACTATACAAACCAACAAATATGTAAACAGAGGAAAACAAAATGGCATGTAGACAAAGCACATAAACAAACATAAAAGACAAGAATACAAAAAATGACCATAGCACAATAACACAATGGCAGGATGTATAAGTACCGAGCCACGCCAAAAGGATATCACCAAAAATGAACTAAACAGTAACGGTTAATAATTTACAAAGACAAATAAAAGAACACTATAACACGTAATTAAGATGATAAACAACGTCAGTACCTAGAATGTATACTTGCTATGTTTTCTGCTCTTTGGTCGGGTTGTTGCTTCTTTGACACATTCCCAATTTCCATTCTCAATTTTATTCTAGACCATCATGTAATATTTGTAAAGTTGATACGGAATATTTATCAACAAGGTCGTGGTATCTTCTGATGAACCTTTTTTAAAGAAAAATGACGAGACGTTCTTTGACATAACCCTAGTTTATCAACTTTCTGCTCAGACACTGGTGACGTAGTGGTCATCATCCAATGATTACTTTCTGTTTTCACGTTTTTTGTTTAGGAATTTTATCCCAATCAAAAATGACTTACAGTGTATATCTTAAATAAAAGTTGCAATTCACGGACATTTAAAACATTAAATAGATTTGAAAGTACACGTATAACAAAATAACAAAGACTTATATAAATGTGGAATACTTCATGTTTTATTTTACCATAATGTATCTTATGGTATAATGTTATTAGTTACTGCACTCTGGTGGTGGTGTTCCGCATCCCATCAGCGTCGAAGTGCTACATGTGCATGTATTACACCCATCAGGACATTTGAATGACACCCCTTCTTGATACACGCTACCATTAACCACACATGTACCTGCGATAATAAACATCAGAAGTTTGAATTAACTTAGAGAAAATTATTCATAATTAGCATGTTGCATTTTATTGGAGGAACATCTACAGTTGGAAGTTCTGTGACTATACCGGTCTGAGACCATTTGAAAATAACAAGCAAATCGCAGAGTAAAGACGTCTTTCACAACCGTCAATCGGACATAAAAAAGAACTCAAAATTGGTCTATAAACGACTTTCACATTCGTTCATTTTCCAGTAAATTTGAGATATTGCAATGCTTATGTTGTGATGTTCATTATAGAGTCGATTGTTCAAAGCCGTCATTGACGCATTGAAATCGTATGAACTGGTGCAACTTATTAATAACTCGAACTTGGTCTATTGGTTATAAGCTTTCTATGTTTGATTTAAAGGTCATTATACTGTGAAAAATAATCAAACAATAACAAATGTGAATTAATCTGCTATCCAAATGAAGTACCTACATACCAAATCAAATGAATCGGATAATACATGATGAGCTTCGAAAGAAATGTTCTTTGTGCTTGTTTGTTTTACTTATTGGTCATCAGATATACAAACTTGCGAACCTGAAAAAGTTTTATCGATCACGATAAAGTCGCCGCCATGTTGTTGAAAGTCCTTAGTTATGTTAGTGATATGGACCAAACTGACTCTTTTGACATTTATGCTCCTTTCTAGAGCATACACTGAGAAAAAAGTCCTAAAAACCTTTGATTTCATAGAAATGTCTAAAATATTCACAAAATAAAAACGTGAAGAAGGAAAAACTAAAATGAGGCTTGTATTGTTTTATCTATATTCCAAAAAGACAGGTCCAAAGTAGTGACTTTTTTAATTGTCATATTGATCAATCATGCATTCGCTATCATAAATAAAAAGTAATGTGGATTATATAAATTTTTCGAAGTTTCGTCCCGAGTCTAGACATCATGGAAATAAATTCAATATTGATCATTAAATATCTAACATCAACAACAAACTTTCTCTAAAGTACCATGCTGAAGTGTCTCCCATGCTGCATTAATTATGATTGAGTTTTAATTTGAAAATACAACGAGAGTTAAAATGTATTGAAATTCAATGTAAGATGAAATAACATAAATGGTACCAATTTGACCATCAATGTTTTTGCAGTGACACTTATGAATGGGGCATGTTCACTGTAGTCATTCTATACAGCAAATATAGTTTACCTACATTGTATCCCTTATGGTAAACCATGCAAATAGATTTATTATTACTGCCTCATTATAAATGCTATGACCACGATATATTAATGTGATTAAACGTGAAATAACTAGCTATTAAGTTTCTAAAGAAATAACTCGGCCGTAAGAAGAGGTAGGGGAAAAGGGGCAGATTCCAGATGGAAACTTCTCAAGATACGACATCTTTAAACCAGATATTGATAATGAACATCTTTTTCCTTTTGAATACAAAGCTTTATTCAAATACCTTTTCTCAGATGCCACCGTCGGATATGCATCTTTTTGTCTTGCATACTACGACCTTTGTCGCAAGCAAGACAAAATAATCACTGAAATGTGACTAAAGATGAGTTTTCCGTTTTGGGGAAAATCCTATTTGTAAATTTTGCTGTGCAAATATAAAAAAAACAATCCGCCTTGATTTTTCTAAATCAGATTATTTTTGATCGATATTCGAGCAATATACAGTGATTTTATTTTAACTATTTACAAATGTTGCAGTGCATAAAGAATCAACAAAACACTATTGAAATTAATTTCCTGATACTTCCCTTAGTAGTACGTGTTTGTGTTTGTATATAATGTTCACATCAGAGCAAACAAATCTTCTCTCAAAACATACTTGTACATACCTTTACAGTAAGGACAACCCTTATTTGGTTTAATGGGATTAGAACAGTCAGCTGGGGGACAATCCCATTTAATGCAGTACCTATTGTTGTCATTAGGCACGGAATGACACGTTCTACCAGAACCTTTTGGAATGGCTGGAATAGTTTCACCCGCCGTATAAACAACGCATCTTCTACCCAGGACACCTGCAGTCCCTAGACCTGTGTGAGGATTAAAGCAATGTCATGAGGTCTTTAACTTGTCATGTAGTTTTAAACAACTAATTAAACCAATTTTAGCATCTATAAACAAAGCTGATTTACATATCCGATTCTCAAAAACAATAATATCTTCAAACATGGTAAAAGGTTCCCAAAGAATACTATCTAAAAAATGTATTTGTTGCCTATTAACATTGATACCATACATTTACATTACTTTTATGAATTTTGTTAGACTCAACATCAAATTGTGTATGTATAAGAGGGCAATCTTGAAATTGTATTTTTTTTTATGATTAATAGTCGTCTCAACTTGTATACCTGATTGTGCCTTTTTTTACTCAATGTAGCTTCGCATGAATGGTAATGCATGCATAGCAAGAGACGCCTATCCTATTGACACACCAGGACTTGCTTCATTTGCAGTTCATGCAATTTCCTCCGGGTTTTGTTTACATTTCATTTTCTAAATGGATTATAAGAATTGAAAATCAGTAAACTTACACGTTAATTTAAGCATTAGTTTATACTTAAAATTGAATTATGAATGTATGAACCATTACAACGCATGTAAATTAAAGGCAATTAATATAGTACTATTAGTATATAAATATTAGTGTCTATGCAGCTATCCACAATATTGAAAAGCGGCTTGAAATTTACAAAAAAAAAAAACAAAAAAAACAGACTTACCAAACAAGAAGCAAACAAATAATATCTTCATCTTTCTCTTTATTTTTGTTCTATATGTCTAAAACGTAGATATTCAATTTCAAGTAGGTGCTGTGATAACGGAAATCAGTACCTTAAAAAAACAAAAATGTTATATTTATTCAGGTCAAATGAAAGGAACCTGAATTTCACTTATATTATGAATGACTATACCTTAATGTATTTTAATCCAGTAGCAGATATTTGTTGAACTTTTAACATGCGGTAAAGATATTCTGTACTGGTTTCTTTATATATGTTATAGTTTGTGAATATCACTTAAATCAGTGTTTTTCTCTTGACAAATATCCTTATTACAAAATTCCAATCGGGAACATATATTATATAATTGTAGTAAATATACCATCTTGTAAGACGTTTCGGCCACTGTCCTTCTTCAGTTTCTTTAGTATCCTTCTTGACTTCATGTTAGACATTTTACGTAGACGATCAATAAGATGTTATATATTTAGTTCCTTGGTAATATTATGACGTCACAATAAAATAAGTTTTAAATACATATTTTTGCAATCAAGTATTTAACGTTTATATGCACTGTTTGTATTTTAGTGTTTTTTTAATGCATTTTGACGACTAGACATATTGATAAACCCAACCGGCGTACATCAAACATTTTTGTAATTTGCAGTGAAAATAATTTTCTCTTGTGTGCAATACTTTATAATTATACGTACAGCAATTAATTAAGTATTTTGAGTGTAAATAGCATGATTGTAAATCAAAAACGTACCGTTGAAGAATACCCATCAGATTTTACCCTTTAATGGGCTCTGACTTTTTTTTACTGTAATGGAGATTAAATCTACGTCACATAATAAAGTTTGTTAAGATTGACTCTATTGAGTTTCCAGCGCGGCAAAAAGGTCTTATTTACCCCATCAGTTTCCGAAATATATACTGACATCTCTATGTAGTTATCCAATCCAAAAACTCGACACATTTGGTTTACGTAATTTTCTATTTCATAAACAGTATAGATAACAAACACACATTATGAATATGTACCTTATGCTATTATTAGAATATCTCAAACTACTTACTAAGCATTATTCTATCATCTTTCTAAGGAACGACTAGAACAACGATGCCATTTTGACAAAACGAATTAGAATGAGTTCCAGACGGATAAGTGCAATGTGCAAATGCGTATATTAAGCATAGTCACCGCCTTATATAGAAGCATAATGTCTATTCAGAATAGAGGCTATAGAGAGGAAAATCAGGTAATTTAAAAACTTCTCAGGAATTATTGGATTTGTAGTTCCAAATGATGAGAGAACTACTGACAACAATGCAATAGCAATATGATAAAAGGAGAAAGTCCGGTAAGGGCTAATTTTGGCCTAAAATTTGAAGTACATCGGATGAAAGATCTTTGACATTTTTTAAACACTTACGTGTCTACTTCAGTCGATTCAATTAGTTTATGTAAAATTATTTTATCTGATTTGGTCATTAAAAGCGCTCAAATTCAAAGATTAAATATGAAAAATCTATCAAATATGCCATAAAACGTCACTTTGCACACGTTTTTTGTCTAAAATGTAAGTGACTGCATTCGTGTTCAGTCTCAACATTCATATATGTCATGTATTATCATTAAATACAACTCATATTTAAATATCAAAACTGAAAACAAGTGATGCCACATCCATTTTAGACAAAACCCGTCTAAAACTTAGCCCAAATGCTAAAATTGCAAAGACTTCACTAATTTTGCATGAATTAATGATGCAAGTGCCTGATGCATGTGCATTGTTTTGTCAAAAACAGCCCATTCTAGATATTTGCAGAAACTGTCATACACCTACAATTAGGATTACAATTACACTTACAGGTAGAATTTAAATCTTGGATCGTCTCAAAGTGTAAATATAAACCGTCGTTCCAAAACAAAGTCTAACTCCTATGATGTATTTCGGTTTTCCAGCATTTTATGTAGTAATTTATTCCCATTAAATAATACGCATGTTGTTATCCATGTTGAACATGCTGTAGATGTACGGTGTATGATAAAATTGACAAACATCGTTTGATAAATTTTACATGAGACATGCAGAAACTTTTTCGCAATTATTATTGCATTGGCTAGGTTAGGCCAATTAAAAAATAATTTCAGTAAGGCTTAGTGTTAAGAAAAAGGCGATCAACTAAGGAGCATGTTGACAATATCTAATGTTTATTCTAAGACATTAGACATAACTAGTTTTAACAGTTCTTCATGGCATTTCACTTAATTTAGTTTAGTGTATTTTTAATATCTTTTACTTTTCTGAATTAATTGTTTTTTGTTGAATAGAAAAAAATATATAAACGAAAACAAAACACTACATCGTTAGTAATGAACATCTTTTTGTCGAATATATAATTTAAACTATTCGTCAGACTCTGTTAAAAAGAAGAAAAGGTGTACCCAAATAGCTGGAATTTTACTATCTATCTTTAAACATTAAAAAAAATAACCAGGTTCTAAGTTTTTTGTTCTTGTGCAATTTTTATAGAGATCGTGGGAATCATTTGAGAATGGATGTTTTCTTTCACAATGTCGATACCTCTCTCCCATGAACATGGGTGGGTCTGGTTTGCTCGAAGCATAAGCAGTAACTCCGGATCCCGAGACCGGTACAATTTATAGAGTGCATTTGTGACGTGGTCCATTTCAACACAAATTTTATCCGCAAAATTATTCTGTTTATTAAAAGGGGAAAATTGTGCAAATGGTATATCAAGAGAGAATAAATTGTCAAAATAAATCACACACTATTTACGTCGGTTAGGGAGCAGTTGCTGATACAAAAGTGCAAGAAGCACAACACCCGACATTAATACTTTAAAAGCACTGCGCTGCGGCGGGTTTAATAATTATAATGTGTAATTTGGTTATCGCATTTTTCCTGTGATTTTCTAGTGCACCGTTTGTAGAATATCTTCTGAACGAATTTTAAATAATTTTGCTATACTTAAGACCATACCATAAAAAAGAAGAACTATATTTCACGGGGAAAGCGTATGGTTCTCTGCTTGTTTTTTTTTTGGTGGGCGACAAAATATATCCGAACAGACATTTAGTATTGACACCTTTTATTAGACATTAGATTGTTCGAAATTCCCAGAATATGTAGGGGAAGAGTAGAAAAGTAAATAGATTTATTACACACTATAGGGTAGAGGTTGAACACGCCATCGAAAACCTACAAAACTCCAAAGCTATTGGAATATGTGACGATATCCAAAACAGCGATTCATTCTTTTGTCTTCGAAAAGACTTATTTAAATAATTTTAAAAATTAATTGGTTTTACTATAATGTATCTCTACTACCGTTTTTTATATTTTGAGATGACCTTCTGTTTTTCGTCAACTGTATTCGTAAGTCTAAAAGTAATCCTAGGTATAAACCTAGTTTCCGCAAATGTCTACTTATGCAACAAAAGTATTCTACTTTCCAATGATTAGCTAAAAGTTTTTAACAAATTATACTTTATTTTGGGGCCAAAAAAGGGTCTTACCGGGCGTACTCCTTTTGTACTGATAATTCAATACAATATGTCAAGTTGTATCTCATTCTTGTGTACCAGACATGTTTTCCTTTAGGGGTACGTTATAAATCTGGTGCATCCGAGACCCAACTTGATATTCCGTCAACAGCTAGGAACGCTCGAAACCAAACACTTAGAAACTAGGGATGTATATAGACTTGGAAAGCTTCATGACCTTATAAAATCTAAACCCCCCGGTTTTTGGTGGGGTTCGTGTTGCTTATTCTTTAGTTTTTATATATTGTGTTTTGTCTACTGTTTGTCTTTTTGTCCGCTTTTTTGAGGGGCCATGGCGTTGTCAGTTCATTTTCTACTTATGAGTTTGAATGTTCCTTTGGTATCTTTCGCCTCTCTTTTATAGAATTGCTGTCATTTCAATGCGCGTTTCGGATAGTAATTTTGTCATAATTTTTGCAGATGGACAAGGTTAAGTTAAGTGTTCGGAATGAAAAACAAAAACGAATGCAAAAAAAAAATATGTTCAGAAGATAATCTTTGCTTAGTTAGTAGATTTGTATAAAGGTTTTACGTTTAAAGACTTACAGCTGCTACTCAGGCTTTGTAGAAAGTCATCTGTGTCTGAGCAAGAAATTTATAAGCCAGGGTTTTGTCATATAACGTCTCATTCTTTTTCTCAAAACTAATTTCATCGAAATGTACCAAGACCCCATAAATAAATATTCAGTGTATACTTCGCAAATAGTACAAGATATTCTTTATTTGTAGTTTTTAGGTGCTGAATTTGTGCATTTATTTTACAGCTTTCCCTTTATATGTCTTAGTGTTATTATGCTTCTGTTGGTCGTATGACTTTTGACGTGACTCGGTATTTATGCATCCCGCTATCGGGATTTTCATTTTGGGCGTCTCTGGTGCGAATTGGTCTTCAGGTGTGATTCAGACGCGGAAGGATTTTCCAGTGTTGTTTCCATTTTGTTTACCCTTGCATTTATACTTTACTTAATTCCTACTTTATTGATAAATTGTATACCAAATACGGTATGTAGTACCAACTACAAAAACATTAGTGTTGACGTCTCTGTCAAATTTAATGTCAAGTACACCACTTTGTTGTCGTCTTTGTTAGATTTATTTGTATGTTTGTTTCAATTCTTTAAGAAGTTGTGATGTATGTCTGTGATGTATTTTTACTCAATTTTTGATGCTGGATAAAATTTTGGTCACATTACCCTTGTATGGTTTTTGGGGTTGCTCATCCAATTTTGTCAATATAAGGGTGCTATAAACAACAAGTGGAAGGTTTAGCTAGGTATAATACTGGGTTTCACACACCACTTTCTTCAGGAAATGCCTGTACAAAGGCTGGTATGTGAAAGCTGTTTTTTGACGTTTTAACAGTCAAGAAAACTAAAATTGTATTGTTACAATGCAAACCGTGATTTCCCAGATAAATAGATTAAGACGACAGTAACTAATTTGATGTTTTAATAGACAAGAGAACTAATTAAAGTTGGTAAAGTCAGGCAAACGAATTTGAATTTTAGTCGAAAAAGAGTTAATTTTACGTTTTAACATTCAAGAGAGCTAAATCAATCATTCTTTTTATAGTCTAGCGAGCTAGTTTGACCACTTATTTGACGTTTTGCAATGGGTCACTGAATATGATATTAAAGACGAAAATAAAAAGAGTCCAAGATGAACTTAAAACGTTCTCCTTATTTTGGATAGGCACAACATGAGCATACTGGACTATAAGGGATACTAGACCAAAGCACAGATGTATGATTTGTTTTACTATGTGCAATTTACTTTTCATGTGGTAATTCTTTATGCATTTTTGGATAAGAGAATAATTTTCAATATACTATTTTTCACCCTGCACTGGAACTAATACATGGTTCAAGCCTTGCTTCAGTGTTGAATTAGCAACACAATAAAATTAAATTAAAATTTTAACTTACATGTAACTATTAGCTGAAGATGGTTTCAATAATTTTCCCACTCGGTAATTGTTTTTCTTATATAAGTATTGTTTTTTTTTTAATCCTTGTTTAAAAAAAACAAATTAGTTAAGTAACCACAAAAATGATTTACGAATCTGACGTTTCATATATGTGTTTTATCCTTATTTGATAAATAAACAAATTAGTCAAATTTTAACTTACATGTAACTATTAGCTGAAAATGGTTTCAATAATTTTCCCACTCCATGATATAAATATAGGTTTTTTTATCCTTGCTTGAGAAATTAGTTAAGTAACCACGTAATATTTAACGAATCAGACGTTTCATATGTGTGTTTTATCCTTATTTGACAAATAAAAAAAATGAGTCTGGTAACCACAAATTAATTTAACGCATCTGACATTTCTCGTATAAAGTATTTCACTATAAGAGAAAAAAAAATAAAATGAAGGTTGAGTTTTTAAACTTTGTCGTGTTTATTTTTTAAATACTTATATCCTTACATGAGTAGTAAACAAATTATTCACTTTACTACAAAATAATACAGCTTGTTTGGCTTGTTACAAATTGTGAACAATTGGTCAGGATCTAAACCGTATGTGCGGAATAGAAGTTGTATTTTGATTCATTCTCTTGTTATAATTATAAAGTTGAAATGTACAGGAAAAGGCAATGCTTGAGTCTTTTGTCTATTTGGTCGTTGTTTATTGTGCTTTTTGTGGATACGATGTGTCTTTCCAATTGATTTTTTAAGTGTCTTCTTGTGTTATGCTGTTACACAAATTACCGAAGTTAGGAGGAGAGTGAGCTCTCGCAATCTTGCATAATCCCGCAACATTTCTTCATGTACCTGTCTCAAGTCAGGAGCCGGTTATTCAGTTGTTGTCGTTGATAGATGTCTATCATATTTGTTGTTCTTTGTTTTTTTTTTCGTTTGAAATGTTTTGTTATATTTCCTCTTTCCTGGAACTTTTGTAGCTTACTAAACGGTATGGGTGTGCACAAGGCTTACGTAGACCTATATTTGCGTAAATCTACGAAATGTGGTCTCTGGTGGTAAGTTGTATTATTGTCAATATCACCACTTCTTCTTATTTCTAACTAAATCCCGACATTTCGCATCCATATTGTGAATGGTTTTAATTATTCTATCAAAAATAATAACTGACAATTAAAAAACTGATACATCCTACCTATTTGAACTGTATATACATCGCATTCAATGCCTTTGTAGATATAGTTTTTTTTTGTTTAATGCTGTATTATTTATTTCGTGAACATAATAACAAAATAACAAAAATCATTATTTATCTCGATACAATTGTTATCAATAGTGAAATTTAGGTTCTTTTGTGTTCTATACATATCAATTATTGAAATCTTGATTTTGTCATTTTTACTTTCATTTTTCAACTTTTTACGATATCCACTTGAAACATTCCGCTCCTTTTGCAAGTGAATCAACGCTTCCTTATTCCTTAATCTGTCGCTGAAATGGACTCACCAAATTATATTCAATTGTTTCCTTTAATTCATTTAGTTTGAACTGTATTATGTTCGCTGTTGGAAACGACGTGGTTCGGTATTTATATATTCCGCTTTCGGCCATTTTGTTGTTACTTTCTTATACGTGTTGGTCCGGGGGGTCATTTTGTGCTGTATTGTTGTCTGTTTTTTTTTCGTTTGTGGTTTGAATTCTGTATTTTCGGTACATTTCACATATGTCTTATTTGTCAGTATAGTCGAGTTACTCGTAGTTCGTCTACAGGTTTTTTGTTTTATGTTGTTTGTTTTTATATGTGTTTACTGTTTGGTCTTACATGATCTTGCCTTATATCACAGTTATTTTTTTTAAATTTTCTATATGTATGTAAAAGTTAAGATAACAAATCAGCTACTTCATTTTTATGATTTTAAGTTTAAACCAACTATATGCATAGGATTTTTTTGTTTATACACAGTTTTGATTTAGAAGAAAAACCGACATGGTTAGAAAAAACAAAAAATAACACCATAGCAAACACAATTCCATTTTAATATTCTTGTCATGATAAGAAAATACATAAAATAACATCATTACAAACTCAATCCAAATTTAGTATTCTTGTACGTGTCTTTAAAAAAAACAAATCTATTTTATTTTTCGAAATTTACTTGTGATAATATAAACGTCACTTTTTGTTACGTTGATCCAACGGACGTGCAGTCACGTAGTGTTATCATTTCAGCTGTATTTTTAACATTGCCATTTTAGCGGGAGGTTTGGCCATCCATTTTTTCTGAAAATGTCATGTACCAAGTCAGGAATATGGCATTTGTTTTCAACCATCCCGTTTCTATGTATATTGGCGTTTGCTTTTGTTGTAGTTCAGTGTTTTTGTTGTTCCGTTGTTTTCCTCTTATAGTTGATGTGTTTCCCTCGGATTTAGTTTGTTACCCGGATTTGTATTTGCTTTATCGAATTATTACTATTGAACAGCGGTAAACTACTGTTGCCTTTATTTATGTATCACTGACATCAACAAATCGGCGAAACCTCTCGGCTGCCAATGTGTTGCAATTAGATGTCTATTTTATATATGACGTGTACATGTTATTATTTTGTACAAGTTATTTCTTATACAAACATTTTGTACAAGTAATTACTTGTATGATGCCGTCATACAAGTTCTTATCGAATTATTACTATTGAACAGCGGTATACTACTGTTGCATCCGAGCTCATGGTTTCTTTTTCAAGAATCAACACTTATCCATTGTATCTATAATTCGGAAACATCCAGCTCAATTTTTTAATAAATCGATTTTAACTTTGATCTTATTTTACTGGAAAGGAAATCTTGTCAGTAATCACAAAAATGGGGAACGAAAAAGGGGATCAACGACTTTGAATGCCTTCTAAAGTCTATGAATCAACAAAACAACTTTTTCTTCTTAAATTTCAGGACTTTGAAAAATAAATAGTATTATATGTAATGCATTGTTGAATATTTTTGTTGGAACCCCGTCTTATTGTCCTATATGTTTGGAAATCTTCAGAAAAAGTATACAGTCCGTTTTTAAGATCAGCCGGGGAAAACCTCACAATACAACTGACAGTAATGGTTCTATTCTTTTTATTCAGCATAGTTCCAAAAATGCAAATATCAATAAGAGTATTAACAGTATTGTAATTAAGCATAGTTCGTAATTAATAATCAATTTACCAATTTCATTTACCATTGAAAATAAATATTTTGTAAAAAATGAATTTCTTTCTGAATTTCACATTTACTTGATTTCATTACATGTTCAGTGTCCTCGAGTTACCTCAGTTACCTCTGTTTACTCATTTAAACAACCGCCGTGCTAGAATTTCGCTAAAGTCTGATAAAACACAGGGGAGTGTGAAAATCTGAAACATTTTAGCAGCACTCTAATTTTTAAAAAAAAATGCTACAAACTTCAAATGATCTGGCGTACATAGAAGGAGACGCTTACCTCATGCGATTACCTCAGATTCTGTTTCTACCTTGAATTTTCTTCTTTATCGATTAATGAAGTTTGATTTCTTGATTTCTTGATTGACAACATATTTGTTACGTTTGGAGGACGCGTTTTTCAACAGACTGTCGGAATTCCAATGGGAACCAATTGTGCCCCTCTTCTTGCCGACTTGTTTCTTTATTATTATGAGGCTGACTTCATACAGGAACTTCTTATGAAGAAAGATTAAAAGTTAGCAATATCCTTTAACTTTACGTTCCGCTATATAGATGATGTTCTCTCACTAAATAATACAAAATTTGGTGACTATGTTGAACGAATCTATCCCATCGAACTAGAGATGAAGGATACTACAGATACAGTTAAGTCTGCCTCATATCTTGACTTACACCTAGAAATTGACAATTAGGGTCGGTTGAAAACAGAACTTTACGACAAAAGAGATGATTTCAGCTTTCCAATTGTGAACTTTCCATTTCTGTGTAGCAACATTCCAGCAGCGCCTGCATACGGAGAACATATCTCCCAATTGATACGATATTCCCGGGCTTGTATTTCCTATCATAATTTCCTTGATAGAGGATTGCTGCTCACAAGGAAGCTATTAAACCAAGAGTTCCAAATGGTTGAAATCATCCCTTCGTAAATTTTACGGACGCCATCACGAGTTGGTTGACCATTATGGAATAACCGTTTTACCGATGATATCGGATATGTTCCTTATGTCGTAACTACAATACCCTTCCCTTTTCACGAATGTGACCTACCTAATTAGACTATTTACCGGATTTGTAATAACATAAGCAACACGACGGGTGGAGCAGGATCTGCTTACCCTTCCGGAGCACCTGAGATCACCCCCAGTTTTTGGTGGGGTTCGTGTTGCTTAGTCTTTAGTTTTCTATGTTGTGTCTTCTGTACTATTATTTGTCTGTTTGTCTTTTTATTTTTGGCCATGGCGTTGTCAGTTTGTTTTCGATCTATGAGTTTGACTGTCCCTCTGGTATCTTTCGTCCCTCTTTCTTGAATATCATTAAACTGTTGTTGTCGTTATTGAGTAAATTCATTTATACAACAAACATGATTTAGCTGATTTAATTGATTTTAATTTGTCGAAAGTCTGACAGCAACGTTCGAGTCCACGCATTTCAAGCACTGCAATTTGTCAATGTATATAAATGCATTTTCTGTATGAAACCACCAACAAACAAATAATATACAAGCAATAGATATAAAGTACATGTATTTAATTTATAATTGCCCAAACATTAGTAAATCAGTGGACAGATCATCGGTCAACTCTAATGACGATTGTCGACATAGGTATAATATAACTTACATGCATCTCATTGACTGCTAATCGAATTCTAACGTTATATATCAGATATATATTGTTCGAATATGTTTGGACATACAAATATAACCCATGTTATATGTTGTTTTGAAATGACATTTATTTAATCGAACTTAACAAACATATTGGTATTACACTATTCTTTTAAATATATAAACAAAAAAAATCTTGAGAGCCCTTTTCAAACCTTTACATTATAAAGGCTTTTATTGGTGTAAATATTTTCAAGCAAATCTCAAATATATTTCCCTGAAAGCTATGTAAAAATGTGGCATCATAAAAGCTAACAAGTCTATTTTCAATTCATTTCATATTTGCAGTTTAAGGAAGTCCTACGCGGATGACCTTAGCCGTCAAGAATAAACCAATGTTTATCTGAACAAGCATTTTGATCTGAACAACTTTTAAAAG